TGAACGAATGACCTTCCCCCCCAGTTTGACCCCGGCTTTACATATATTCAGACCCACCAGCCTTTTACTTTACACTCTAATTAAATACATTAAATAAAACTATATTTTAGTGCTTTTTCTTGGTAAAATATTAAAATATATTGGTTTTTATTATTTTTGTAATGGACGTATTCATTCTTCATCAATTATTTAAATTGCAGGGGGGAACCAACGATTCATATTCACAGAGCAGAGAAAGAGAGGTGAATATCAGATATTTAATTAATTACAAATCATACTTTTTTCAAGTAATCATAATATTGAAAATTCAAAAATTGTTAAGCCCTGCACTCCAAAATATCAATTCCATTTCTATCAGTAAAACCTTTGTAACATGTAGTTAATAACAAACGATTTAAAATTGTGTTTTTGTTGAATATATTCGGGTTTTTTAATAATTAGGATTTGGTTTCTAAGGTTGAGCAACATTAAATCATTGATAATAATTTAGCAAAATCATAATTTCTTAGACTATTATGTTCAAAAATAGAGAAATAGGATGTAAATTTTTGACACAAACTTCAATTTTCTAATCCCTATATTCTTTGCAACCCTCCATCCCCATGTCGTATACCTTTGATATTTAAAACTATAAATTCTGTTAAAAAACAGTCTAAGTTTTAAAAATAAAAGGTTTACATCATCAGGTTGCAAAGATATAGGGATTTTGAAAATTAGAGTTTGTGGCAAAGTTTCAATTCCTTTGTTAGATTTTTACATACAGTGATAACCAGAAAACTCTGAAAAGAAAGACTTTTAGAATCAAGTTTTAACTTTGAATTAGCATGAGACACAGCTTGTCTACAGGCTCAATTAATTCAATTGGTGATTTAATACGGGTCTAGTAAAACAATTTGCTATGTAACAACATCAAATACACTTAAGTACTGTTATAAAGTCGTCTTCCTATTCCATAGTTTTCTGATTATTACTGTAGATAAATCAAAGGATTAATATAATTAAAATATTTGTAAAAAAAAAAATGTTTTTAGAAGCCTGGACAATCGGATATATACCATCAGAGGCGATCGATGGTAAACAATTTGCGTTTTAGATATTTTTATAGTTTTTGTTTGATTTAAAACTGCAAAATAAATATTTGCTGGATTTTTCATTTTCTTTTCCAGTTCTCATACATTCAGTCTTTCATTTCCTAAGCTAAATTGAATATTGAACTCGCCCCCCCCCCTTGTTAGCTTTGAAACCAATATTTCTCCAAGATTTAAATTTGCGCATTTTCAATGCGCATAATTTCCCTGATATTTCAAGCTGACTCCTCTGTGTGATGCTCCTCTATTATGTAGATTACTTCAAATCTACATAAATATCAGGAGAGGCTTATACCTTACCTTATATAAAAACTGGAACCTTTTATTAACCTTAGGCTGAGGACACTGTTTTAAAAATGGGGTGGGCAAAAGAAAAAAGCTCAAATAAAAAAATGATCTGAAAACTAAAAGAACCGAAAAAAAGCTAAATATAGGGTGTCTCATAGCATAGTGGTTTGTGCCCAACGCCAAATTGGGAGTTTTTGACAATAACAAGAAATCTAACATTTTTTTTAACTAATTAGAAAAAAAATTAAGGAAATAGACTCAAGTTATGACATAACGTAGTTCATGAAACATTAGTCACATCATTTGTGCAGGGTAAACAGACCCATTTAACTTAATAATTGTTACTTGTAAAACTGTTTGCTTTGTAACAAGATCAAATACACTTAATTATTGTTTTAATGTCGTCTTCAACAGAGTTTTTAGTTCTCACTGTACGGGTCTATATGTATCTAAATCCAATATTGTTTAAGAGAGGTAAAGACGACACCACCAGCCTGTGTAGCTCAGACAGCTCGGGCTTTTCAGAAATCAACAATTCGGATTCAGATAAGCAATTGGTCTACAGAAATCTCAGGTTTTTATAAATTAAAAATTATAAAACAGTATCGTCGTATATATCAATACAATGAAGCCGAAGGCGACTATTTATCCATATTTTTAATTTATACCAACTTTTAAAACAGCATGGATTTACATAAAAATTGCAACAAAGAGAAGCTGTCATTTAACAGGAATTCTCTTTGTTTACTTGATAACATGTAATTTGAAAAAACTAAGACCTTAAGACTTAAAAAGAAAAGTCGTCTTCATTGTATTNACGGTAAATATTATATATTAGTACAAATACTGTTCTCTTCAACGGTAAATATTATATATTAGTACAAATACTGTTCTCTTCAACGGTAAATATTATATATTAGTACAAATACTGTTCTCTTCAACGGTAAATATTATATATTAGTACAAATACTGTTCTCTTCAACGGTAAATATTATATATTAGTACAAATACTGTTCTCTTCAACGGTAAATATTATATATTAGTACAAATACTGTTCTCTTCAACGGTAAATATTATATATTAGTACAAATACTGTTCTCTTCAACGGTAAATATTATATATTAGTACAAATACTGTTCTCTTCAACGGTAAATATTATATATTAGTACAAATACTGTTCTCTTCAACGGTAAATATTATATATTAGTACAAATACTGTTCTCTTCAACGGTAAATATTATATATTAGTACAAATACTGTTCTCTTCAACGGTAAATATTATATATTAGTACAAATACTGTTCTCTTCAACGGTAAATATTATATATTAGTACAAATACTGTTCTCTTCAACGGTAAATATTATATATTAGTACAAATACTGTTCTCTTCAACGGTAAATATTATATATTAGTACAAATACTGTTCTCTTCAACGGTAAATATTATATATTAGTACAAATACTGTTCTCTTCAACGGTAAATATTATATATTAGTACTTATTCTGTTCCCTTCAACGGTAAATATTATATATTAGTACAAATACTGTTCCCTTCAACGGTAAATAGTATATATTAGTACAAATACTGTTTTCTTCAGCGTTAAATATTATATATTAGTACAAATACTGTTCCCTTCAACGGTAAATATTATATATTAGAACAAATACTGTTCCCTTCAACAGTAAATATTATATATTAGTTCAAATACTGTTCCCTTCAACGGTAAATATTATATATTAGTACAAATACTGTTCCCTTCAACGGTAAATATTATATATTAGTACAAATACTGTTCTCTTCAACGGTAAATATTATATATTAGTACAAATACTGTTCCCTTCAATGGTAAATATTATATATTAGTACAAATACTGTTCCCTTCAACGGTAAATATTATATATTAGTACAAATACTGTTTTCTTCAACGGTAAATATTATATATTAGTTCAAATACTGTTCCCTTCAACGGTAAATATTATATATTAGTTCAAATACTGTTCCCTTCAACGTTAAATATTATATATTAGTACAAATACTGTTCTCTTCAACGGTAAATATTATATATTAGTACAAATACTCTTCTCTTCAACGGTAAATATTATATATAAGTACAAATACTGTTCCCTTCAACGGTAAATATTATATATTAGTTCAAATACTGTTCTCTTCAACGGTAAATATTATATTTTAGTACAAATACTGCTTTCTTCAACGGTAAATATTATATATTAGAACAATCGTTCTTTCAGTAAAAAAATATCGTTTTTAAAGTTTTGTTAGAAAAAATTGTTTGTTTTGAAAGAAAACGATAGAATTTTTTTAAAAGCTTTTGGAAAAATCGTTAATTAAGTAAGAATACTTTTATTTTTCAAGTTTGTTTGAACGAATGATTAAGAAATCATTCGTTTCAGTTTTTTATTTCGTTAGTTTTCTGAACGACATCATCGTTCACGATAAGTTTTGTTTGTTCACTATAACGATATCCGTCTCTACCTTAGTATACATTACCTTAATCAGTTGGCGGCAATTTATTATTTTGTATTCCAGGAACTCTGAAAGGTCCAGAGTGACCGCATCCGGACGAAGTTCCATGCATTTCCCGGACAATTTATTTCTGGACAAACCGTTCCAGGACAATTCATTCCAGAACAACGTATTGCCTAACAATATGTTTCCAGAAGAACTGTTCCAAACCAAACCAATCCCTGACAAATCCTTTAAAGGAAATGAAAACTTTGAGTTGGATATAAGGAATGATATATTTGATCAGAAAACAGACAGTTTAAAGTACGATAGTGACCGAGAAAGTTGTGTTTAAAACTCCACTGGTGTTGACGGAAAAATGTTTAAGCTTGGAAGTTTCGAATAGAATGGAATTATAGATTTGTATATAAATAGAAGTGAAAACTAGCTTTATCGCTGTAGTAAAAATTATATATTTTAAAAGATCTGGGATAAATATCAATTATAAGAGTATAAATAATTTTGATGTTTGTATTTAATTAAAAAAGACTTTAAAAGATGTTTTTTGTCTGTTTTAAACTTTAATTTTTAATTAGATCTAAATCAATAATTTCTTAATTTAAAGACAACTTAGAGACTGAAAGCGTAATTTCGAGTAAAATTTCTTTTAAATGGGCATCTTCGATTTTCAACGGTACTCTGCAAACCTTTGACGGATCAAGGATGTCAGAAATATCATTATTAATCTACTGAAACACTTTCAATTGTTAAATACGTTGTTTGCAAGCTGCCATATATTTAAAAAATATCAATAGTTATTTTCTAAAAGTAGCAGATGATGAAAAGTTATTTTTGAATGTTTTAAACCGTTTTAAACTCTAAAAAGACAATATTTTCATAGGATGGTAGTAAAATCTCAGTTGTTTAGAGTTCAGTGCGGAATTTGTAAGAATACAACAAGTTTTTGTTACGTTTACACACATAGATCTCTGTACTCGATGAACATACAACGGTTTAAAGGGTAACTCTATAAATCGACCATTGCCGTCTAAGCACAGAAGGTCCGGGAGGTCACTTGGAATTACGCATAACAGTCCCTTTAAAAACAGTATTTTTTACTGATTTATAGTAAATTAGATTTTAGCTTTGCTAATTATAGCCTTGCTATTAATACTGTTTTAATTACCCACAATTTTGTAAAAGATCATCGTTGTGAACACTATAATTCATTCATAATTGGTTAAATGTAAGCAAGAAAAAAATGAAAATAAATCATAAAAATTGTAATAATTATTTGTTATATCAAATCTTTATTGCAGAAATATTATATAATCCATGATTTTGTTGTCAGAAAATTAAGGTTGATTAAAATGATTGCTTTTAAGCTAAACTGAAAAAAACTTCAAGTGTTGCAACTTTTAAAAATAATATTTTTATTTTATTTTAATTATTTATTTTAAATAGAATATTTGGACCTCTCAGAAAAATCCGCAAATGCAATTTGATATTAGTACAAATTCTGTTCTCTTCAACGGTAAATATTATATATTAGTACAAATACTCTTCTCTTCAACGGTAAATATTATATAAGTCGTCTTCATTGTATTGATATAAAGGTCCGACTGGGGGGGGGGGGCTATAGGGACTGAGTAACCTTTAGATTGGCCAAAGCCAAAGTTTTTAGGAGGGGGAGCCTCCCCCCCCCCTGGAAAGTTAAGTCAATTAATATTTTTAAAAGGTTTAAAAGGAGACGTTTAAAATCAAATTCAAAAAAATTTAATTTTTAAAAACATTTGTTTCAGTTTGCCACCAAGACAGTTGAACATTTTTTGAAAAATGATATTTAGTTTGTTTTATAGAAAAACCAATAAAACATTAACAAAAGCTTTTAAAGAAAAAGAGCTGATGATTATCATTTTGAATAGAATTACAAATTAGCTGAAAAAAATCTTTTTTTCTTATAAGTGAAAATTAGAACTTTACGCACAAATATGTTCCTTTTTCCTGCAGGACCGAATTCAATGATTTGGAGAAGTCGCTGAACAACCTATACTCCAGTTCAATTCCTAAATCACTTATTTATCTTAAATCTGTGATTCGGTGATTGGTGATAGGTATTTCAGCGACCATTCTGACAAATTAAAAAATTAAAAAATTAAAATGATAAATGGATTTTTTTTATTTTAGAGAGTCAACGCAAGATCATAAGCTTTTCTCCCCTCAGGTAATTCATTAAAATTTAAAATATAAAATCAAATTTAAATCAAAATTTAAATATTCTCTGATCAGTTTAATTGATTAAAGCTTCATCAAATTGCAGAAAATGTGGTGTTTGATTTTAACAGTTAGGGGCCCGACATAAATCGCCTCGATAGGCAAAAACACCCCCACACTAGGACACTTCAACCCTCCCACACTCCAGCACCCCCACAATCCAACACTCCAACACTTCAACACTTCCACACTGCAAACCTCCCACACTCCTACACTCGAGCACTCCAACACTTCAACACTTCCACACTCCAGCACCCCCACACTCCAACACTCCCACACTTCAACACTTCCACACTCCAAACCTCCCACACTCCTACACTCCAGCACTCCGACACTCCAACCCTCTAAGACTTCCACACTACCACACTGTTTTTTATGTAATTGTCTCACTTTATAGGAGCTTCATCGATCACCTTATCCTGCAGAGGTTCGAACCCTTGGCCGAGGTCGCAGTAGTCTTAATCAGTACAAATACTGTTCCCTTCAACGGTAAATATTATATATTAGTACAAATACTGTTCCTTTCAACGGTAAATATTATATATTAGTACAAATACTGTTCCTTTCAACGGCAAATATTATAGTACAAATACTGTTCAATTATTTATTTTAAATAGAATATTTGGACCTCTCAGAAAAATCCGCAAATGCAATTTGTGAAAAAATTTGAAACCTGCATTCTTTTGTCTAACTAAAGCACTTTCTAAATAAGTTCTAAAATGTGAATATCTGTTGGTCAAGGTAAATTTTCTTGGCAATGTTTGGAGCTCTGTATTGAATATAGTTACTATTTACGTTTAAGAGAAATGGGGGAAAAAATCAGTCAGATTAGTTATTCATAAAAGGAAACGCCCATTTTCTAAATAAGTAACAAAAATATCATTTCCTAAAAGGGAAGGAAACGAACTAAGTTGATCTAATTAACCGTTAGCAAACGGATAAAAACAAACTTAATGATCGAACCCGTTACACTGATCTTATTAACCGTTAGCAAACGGATAAAAACACGTGTCCAGTCTAAACATACATTACATATGCATGAGTTGTGTGTACATAAAAAAGTAAAACGCATAGCTATACAAGAGAATAAATCGCTAATGCAGACTGTAAAGCTGAAAATTGTACAACCCCTTGTACACCATGAATACGTTTTACTTCTTGGGGACAATCTGTAGAGTATTTTTTTCTTATCTATTAAAAGAAGTTTAATAAAAACTAGGCCTCTCCCATTAATTAGTTTAGCTTTTATTTGTTGCACTGATAGTCGCCATTGTATTCAAAAGAAAACACCCCATATATTTGTGTATTCTGTACAAATATAATTGCCGCAAACCTTTATATCCAATTACTGTATGTCAGTAGCTGATACTATAGCTAAATTGACATTTTCAATTTTAACTGTAACCCTCCGGTATGGTAAAGACGACATGAGCCATCTATATTCTATTTTTTCAAGGGTAAAATCATAAAATGTTGATCTTGGTCCCTAAGCCCCTGTCCTATCCCGCTATCCAGTTCCTTTCAAGTACCGGGCATACTTTTAAGTAGCTTAGAGCATGTTGTGCAATGCACAATGTACGCACAGACTATATAACTGTAAGGCATAACGGGTTAGTACGCCAAATTACCAATCCCCATATTGTGTAATGTGTGTGCTTCTGTATACACCCCTGATAGATATGTGCTATGCAATTTATCAGAGTTATAATCCTGGTAAATCTTCTTTTCTTATAGTAAACACCATGCTTTCTTCATTTATTCATAAATCATAGATTTAGACATACATAGATTACAGAATAAATTTATTAATGGATAGATATGAATATATAGATAAATAAATTTAATTAGATTGATGAATTATGGTAGATATTATTATTCATATAGTAGTATTTAATAGCATAGTAGTATTGTAATAAATACACTTGAACATACCTAGATAAATTACATTGTACATTGTCTGTAAATCTAACTGCGTTAATCCTCAAATATGCAATACTTGTAATGCGACTAGACTAGCTACGTATTGTGATTAGCTTAACTACGATGATATATATCTGCGCCAATCTTGTGTATATTAACTTAAGGTTACTGTAACCATTATTTTTCTAAATACACATTAGTTAATATAGATTCCAATTTGATCACGGTGATAGAGTAATTTGGTCCTCTTTGAAACATACGAGCTGAGCTTGTGTCTGTGTTGACTTTGATAGCTGATAAGATTGTGTCAATTGGTTTGGCATTGATTGCTTAAGAGCTTGTGTCCATGTTAACAATGATAGCTGATAAGATTGTGTCAATTGGTTTGGCATTGATTGCTTGAGAGCTTGTGTCCATGTTAACAATGATAGCTGATAAGATTGTGTCAATTGGTTTGGCATTGATCCCTTAAGAGCTTGTGTCCATGTTGACATTGATAGCTGATAAGATTGTGTCCATTGGTTTGGCATTGATTGCTTAAGACCTTGTGTCCACGTTGACATTGATAGCTGATAAGATTGTGTCCATTGGTTTGGCATTGATCGCTTAAGAGCTGGTGTTCCTGTTGGCATTGATAGCTGACAAGTTGCACCTGAATTGATACAGTTCTGGAATCAGTTTTACGAGTAGGACATTTACTTCAGTATTAGTATCAATATTATTAAAACTATATCCATATTTAATTACTTATATTATCATTTTTATTACTATGATTATAGTTATCATAACCAGTAGTATCATTATCATTATTGCTATTGATTACTTGTTAGCCTTATTATTCTTATTGTTTTCATAGTTATTATTATAATTATTTATAAAAAATTATTATAAATGTTGTTTTCTACTTTAATCAGTATCATTTGTATTAGTTGTGTTTAAGTTATATTGATAAATATGAACATACTGGCAAGAAAAATGTAGATTAAGTTGTTTTCCAAATACTTCTTTAAAACTAAAGAACTTTTCAGCTTTGAAATAAACATTAAATCTCAGACAAATTTTAATTTGATTCCCCGGGCTATCATTAAATCTCTTGGGGGTTTACATTTTCCATTGATTCTGATTCTTTTTTTAAGTAAATGACAATCCTTTGTAAAAACCTGATTATTTATATCATGGCCCTGTATTTTAAACGGAATTAAATTAAAATTGTAAGTAAGTAATTATTTATTTATGAAATATAACAAAAACATAAAAAATTAAGTGTTTCAGGAGAAAACATTTAAAAACCTCCAAAAATAAAGGTTGTATGAATATTTCTCTCTAACTATAAAAACAAAACAAAAAACCTAAAAAACCTTAAATCACGCTTTGCATAAAGGTTTTTATCAATAATTAAATTACTCTATTGTTGGACATCATGCATCTTCAATATTCATGGTCATTCCCTCCCCTTACTGATTATGGTATCCTCCCTCCCCCCCTCACTCATCATTGTATTCTCCTTCTC